GGATCTGGGATAAAATTTGGCACAGAAATAGATTATAGCCTGGAATAACCCAAATACTTTTTATCCCGGCAAAATGTATGGTTCCCGTGGGATAGGTTGGTTTTTGTTTTCCTATGTAGTATATATATTTCTAGTATATATATATTTTTAGTCTAGTTTGATATATTTCTGATACAGGTGTTTTTATACTTAAAATACAATTTTAAACTAGTTTGTAATTTAAAATTTTTTTTGTTAATGTAAAGTAAAAATATCTCATTTACTCTTTCTAATGCGATATTCCCAATTAAATAGGCTACAGAAAAAAGAATAATGTTGTAAATTTTATAAGGATTTTTTTTACTTATTTCTTAGAAATAAAAAAAAAGAAATCTTGTCTATACCATATTGAAAACTATTTTTATTCAAAGTTCTGTCAAATACAAGGAAAGTTCTATAAGAATAAGTTCAATTTCAAATATTACATTATTTTATTTTACACAGAAACGTATCGGTTTCATTTATACATAATTAAATACCAATCTCAGGAAAATGTTGTTACCAACCTTTTTGTGGTAATTGAGTAGGTAATTAAATACGTTTCCTTAACATTAAACTTTGATATTCGATTTTAGAGAATAATAAGCCTTGTTTTGAACTTCTTTGACTCCGTTAATTGCAAACCGTTTATTGTGAAAAAATACACATTTAGAAGTAAAATATTTTTTGTTTATGATTGGTTTCGAGTATTTATACTAATTAATTTCTAGCATACAAATATTACATTTTCAATACAACTTTAAATAACAACGTATGTATATATACCTACATATTATGTTACTAAGAAACATATTTAGAAAAATATATCAATTAATTGTAATTAATTATTAGGTCCTTACGTATGAAATTGGTGTCTTCTCGAACTGGCCACTTTGATCTCAAATATCTGGCGTTTGGTTAGGATTTCCAAATTCTATATTTCAAAAGGCTTGTGTATTTGTGTTTCGAATTTAATGATTTATTTGTTTTCGCGCCATTTGATTTTTCTTTGATATCGTTCTGTTCGCGATATGGAAAAATTAAAATATTGCTTTATTTATAAATACGACTTCCACCATAGCACCGGCGCTGCAGAAACAGCTCAAAGGATTACTCGTAATGATGTGTAAGGGGAAGCTACTGTAAAAGAAAACACGGTAGGCTTTTGGTTCCAACGTTTTAGTTCCGGAAATTTTGACCTACAGAACAAACCCCGTGGACGGCCGGACCTGATCCTAGTTGACAATGCAGAATTAAAATTGATCGTGGAAGCGGATCCATCGCAAACTACGTCAGAGTTAGCGCCAAGGTTTGGTGTGAGTGATAAAATAAATTTAATTCACTTGAAATAAATAAGAAAAGTGAAAAAGCTCGAAAAACGGGTACCGCATAAATTGAATGAAGTACATCAACAAACTGTACGATAATAGGAAACGCTCATCACAATCGTTGCACCCAGAAGGCCCGGCCAAAACCTCCCCCAAGCTAAAGTGACTCAGAAAAATCTGTGTGTGGACCGGTGTTGGTGTCATCCGCTACAGCTTCTTAAGATCTAGTCAGATGATTACGGAAGATGCAAGCCATGATGGAAAGCAGCAAGCCGTTAAACATCCGAGACTGATCACTTGCTTTAGTAAGGTGCTTCAGAACAACGCTAGACCACACACTGCACAATAGACGGTCGCTAAATTAGAGGAGCTGCGGTTAGAATGCCTCCAACACTCACCATAGTCCCCCGGACCTTGCTCCAACAGATTATCACTTTTTCTGTAATTTAGACAATCTCTTGCAAGGAAAAAAATAATAATCCCGATGTTGCAGTCAACCGCCTTCAAAGATTTTATTGATTCTCGCTCCCACAATTTTTTCAACAACGGAATCTATGAACTATCTATGAAATGGCGAAAGTGCGTAGATAACTACTTTGATTAAATATATAATCTCATACTTATCTTTTAATTTTGCTTTTTCCATATAAAACGCCAATTTCATAATATGTAAGGACCTAATATTTTAGAATTCTTATACCTTTTTTTTTCATGAACATAGCAAAATATTGCTTTTATATCTTTCCTCAAATAAAAGCTATTCAATACTTTCATTATGCTTTATATTGTTTTCTTAGAACATAGAAACTACTTGATCACGCTTCGATATATTGATTTATATACTTTCCCTCGTCTAGACAAAAACAACGGATTTCCATTTACCACGATGCCGAAACACCTTTCTCGTACCATATACATTCATTAGAGGGCTAATGCGTTCTCACCAGATTTTGGGTCATATCCCTTTTTAATAAATAACCAAAGCTTTTTCATTACCCACACAAAGATCTTTGTTATTAAATAATGATGACTTTAATGAAATATTATGTAGAAAACTTTTATAAAGCTATGGCGAATCGAAAAATATTTTTTTGGCGAATCATTTGCATATTTTGAACCATATAGTTAACTTATATCAGAGGTGTGAGACCCGGAATTTGAACCCGCCTTACTTGGCTTCCCAATCGAGCGCGAAACCACTGAGCACTGGCACTGCCTCGTATTTATTATATAATTTGAAAATGAATAAAAAGACAAGAATTTTTATTTTATAATTCTTAAACAAAATACCACAGAAGACGTTCAATGAAAGAACCATTAGTTTTTCCTATTCAGTTAATTCTACTTATATTTATTAGCAAATGGGATTGTGAATTTTATTATTATTACTATAAATACATATTTATAAAACAAAATTCCCTTAAGCAGGAATTGAACTCGCTAATTCTTTGCCAGTATAATTTATGACACTGCAAAAATCTGCAGAATAAAATTATTATCTATCTACTATATATATAGAGTGTATAGCAAAAATCAATTACGTACTGCTTGTTGCGAGCGTGGTCACTGATTTTTTTGAGGTAAAAAATGAGTCTTCCGATAAAAGCTTTGTATGATCCGCCCTGCACATGTTCAACGGTTGGAAAAAAGGTCTTGCATTTGGTACGTGCTCTGAGTTAACAAATATGGTGAGAGCAGAATTAGAAATACCATTAATAATTCTAATATATGTAGTGTACTTTGTTTAAGCAAATGATTATATTTTGTTCTATTATAAGCGTTCGTGTTCTTCTTAAAATTACAGCTGTCTAATGCTAGTAGATACATATATTATCAGCTTATTTATGTTATGTGTTAATTAAGATTTCAGTGATTTTTACCCACATAAAAACAAGTTATCATAATGTTTATATATAGAATGAGACCAAAAATAGCTCAGTTTGTTGCCATTTTCATATATTACCAGTCGCATTGAAGGCATTGTGTTTTCTTATATTAAATCATAGTTATGTACGTTTATATAAGCCTATTTATTTTATGATACTTAAAATTTCGCGATTTTTCAAAATATTTAATTCATAGATAGAATAAAATAATAATTACTAAAAAAAAATAAGGTAATATTTATTATCGTCCTTGATTATAATAAATCAAGGATTTTTGCTGCCATTATATACAGAGATACATACAAAATGTTGTGTGGCAATAGAAAATAAAGTTCAAACAACTTATTGCACTATCATTACGCTACTCCCCACATATTAAAATCTATCAACAATTTTGTACTTTATTCAGCTTCATACCAAAACAAAGATAAAAAATGCCATGTAAAAAGGATAAGGCAACTGAAGTGGTGTTATATATATCTTAAAAGCATTATTTTGTACTATACCTTAATTATATTATACATTCACTTTTTGGTCTGGTTGTATTGGCGATAAAACTAGTCTCTTTTACTTTATTTTTATTGTAATTTTATTTTAAAATACAATATTATCAATGGGGATTGACACTTAACCATTGCTAACATTCTGCCATTTTTATTTTTCTAAAATTACAGCGAGCTATGAAACGAGTAGGTTTATAGCCATTTAAGACACTTAAAGAAATATAAAAATATCAGCATTGGTTTATGCTGATATTTTTATATTTCTTTAAGTGCTAATGTGTCACGTTTCCATTATATTTGTATGTAAAGATCGCCATATAAAAACAATGATAATTAAAAAGTTTAAATTTACAGTTAAAAATGTTCTTATAACTTATTACGTGTTAAAAAGTGTCAATTGTATTCAAACAATGGTTTCCTTAGCTCCTAATCGTTCGATCGATCGATTAGGTAAAGATCGCTACCTCAAAATATCTCGAGAACGTGACACCTTGGAACACCATAACGTCCTTGATTATAATAAATCAAGGACGATAATAAATATAAAATAGAAAATATCTATCCAAATATAGCTTTAAATCTAATTTTAATGACAATGGAAAGTGATGAAAATGGAATTGACGACTAAAAACGTTTAAACGACGCTTTTCCTGAGTAGGTACTAATAATAATTGTAGACTAAATTAAGGCTATTAGCTTGAAAGTGGTCTGAGCGTAATGTAATATTACTATGGAAATAAAGGTTTTCATATAGTTTAATGCTTGATATTATCATGGATTTTTTAATTTATGGATTTTTTCCCATGATTTTTAGTTTTTACTTCATTCTCCACTCTTTGCAAAGGTATTGAGAGTACGTCTGCTAGATCTCAACTAGACCGCAATCATCTATAACCATTTATATACGTACTTACATTGTATATTGCTAAGTGCTAACTAATATTACCTCGCGCGGGACTCAAACCCATATCCTGTTCAATATATCTATTAAGCGTATTTTTACGAAGTAGGTAGTTTTATTAATGTAATATAGTGTATTTTACATCTAATAATTATTATTCATAAAAATAAAAGTTTGTTTATCTATTACATTTTTAACTCCAACTCAGCCATTACTTTTGTTGATTGTATGTATATTAAAAATTATTATTTTTTTGCTTAGGCGGGATTCGAACCCATATCCCGTTGAATATTACTAGGTCATATTTTAACAAAGACAGTCAAAATATTATAGTATACTTTGTGTAAGTGAAAGTTAAACTTACGATACAAATCGATGCGGACAGACGCTCTCTGAGGCGGGGATAGCAATGTGTTATCCGCCGTGCACGTATACACGGATGATAAGTGCGCCCTCGTAGCGTTAGTTACAACGAGGGTCAATGACCTACTGCTTCCTGAAGGCTGGAGTTCGTTTGCACCTAACGTGCTCAGTACATTGTCGCCTTGCAACCATTGTACTTGTGGTGTTGGATTACCTAGGGAAAGAATTTTGTTTGAAGCATTACTAGAAAATATTCGCGTAAATCTAAGAAAGTATTGTATTATATTACTAGTGATTTTATATAGCTAAGCCAAGTTTTAAGGTGTTACTATTATGGTTTATTTTTATATATTTAATAAAATAAATAAATATGTTGGGACATTAACACACAGTACCATCTAGTTCCATGGTAAGCTACGAGGCTTGTGTTATGGATACCAGATAGTTGATACACTACACATATATAACTTTAGATACATACATATTATAAGTATAAACACCCATGACTGAAGTACAAACTTTCATGCTCGTCAAACAAATGAATGGCCCCAGCGGGAATCGAACCCGCGACCGCTGGCTCAACAAGTAGGTTCATTATAAATTGAGCCAACTCACTCAACTGAGATATTAAACATATATATAACAATAATAAAAAGGAGGATTGAAGGCGCCAATTTAGGAGTGTTGGAAAATTTTGTTGTTTCCAAACCAATCGGGCGAGTATTTAATTCGTAGCATAACAAAAAATGTATGTCTCCGAATGCATAATTCTACATAATATGTTTTATATGACAACTTATTTTCATCTTTTTAGGTCACCTTTTACGCAGTCGGCTTTATTTGGAATTAAATTTTTCATTTTATTAAATTTTACCAAATTTAACGGGAGCACTTGAAACTGGAAACAAACTATATTTTTGTATCTACTCCATTCAAAATATCCTACACCAAACAAATTTTAATTTTCTTTTATAAATGTGGTAATTGTTTTAAATTACTAAGAGTACGACAAATAGGTGCAATTTTTAACTTAAAATGAAAAACAAATTATTTTACAAAAATACCTGGTCTAGGTATAAAGAATCCAGTCCCCTGCGCCTTTTAAAGTCAATAATAATATAAATGTATTTGTTATATTATCCTTCATTTGGATCATTTTAAGTATTGGGGTTAAGAAATTTTAAAGAATCTTACTAATATTATAAGTATGAAAGTTAACATAGATGGATGTTTGTTACACAATCACGCCAGAACAGCTAAAAAAAACTGGATGAAATTTGACATAGAGATAGATTATAGTATGGAATAGCACATAGGCTATTTTTTATCTCGGAAAAATGTGTGGTTTCCGTAGGATAGATTTGATGTTGTTTTTCTGAGCCGCTAGTTTCTAATAAGTAATAAATCTTATAATGTAAATCTAATAAATTTTGTTTTGGAAATATGAGAACATTGAAAACAGTAAATGTTTATTAAATACACAAAAATAATTGCTACGTAATATAAATTACATATTATATAGACCTCCCTGTGCTTGTGTTTGTTGGGACTAATATCAGAAACTGCTGTACGGATTTACATACAGTTTACACCAACAACGAGACCAAGAACCACGAGAAAATTTTCTAGAAAGGCTTTAATTAAGTCTGTTAAATATAAATTATGAATACTTTACGAAAATAAGCGGACGATGATGATATTTATAAATTAAGTGGAAAAAATCGCTGTTCTGATAGCTTTTGCAATATTATAAATGCAAAGGGCATCTATTTCATTAATAAAACTCAAAGGAAGACGCAAACAATCCTTTGCATTAACTTGATTGACATAACGTATTTGAAAAAAACTAATTCCTAGTCGAATTCATTATTTATCAGATCTTTTGTAAGACAAAAAGGAAATTCAGGCAAATCATGTACTACTCACCCCCGTTTACGGAGCAAATAAGCTTGAAGTCTCCACCTTCGTTGTAGGGGCCGGCGATTCCGGTTATTTCTTTGCCGAACTCGTCAAAGATCATCGGCTTAGATGGGAGCTCTGTGGAAACATTACAGTTGTATAATCTAAGTAGAACATACATATTTCGTCGTACTTTTTACATATATATTTTTAAAAGCATGTTTTGACGTCAAATGTGCCTTATATTATTGTTAAATCTACTTATACTAGAGTTCGCGGAGTGGTCGAAGTTCGACCATGATTATTATCGACTTTTCTTAAAAAGGGATACGAATTTTTTGCTTATAATTGTAAGTAAACGTAATTTTCAATTTGACCACAGACTTTAACAATAAACAAAAGAGTATATATGCGTGTTTGTGTCAAATACATGGTATTTTCGTAAAAAGGGGTACAAAGTTTTTGCTTCACGTATTAATATATAGATAACATTATATAATTTTATCCATTAAAATTGTTTATATATATTTTTGATGTTATAGTATATATAAAGAATTGTTTTGTCTTTATTTGGCGCCAAGTGACATGTAGTTTATTTGCAATATACTTACGCTTTAAGTGCGCGATACTGAGATAAAATAAAAACTATTAATTACATTCTATCGCCTTAAGTAAATCTACAACAAAGAACGGCTCATCTGATACTGTTGAGATCGTAATCTCAAGAAGCGTGGATTTTAAATTACACCTAGTTCCCTAGGATGTTGAACGGGAGCAAGTCAAAAGAACTATTTCTCAAGTTAAACTCTAATGAAATTAACAGTAGGAACAAATGAAAAAAAAGTAGTAACAATATTATAGTAATAAGTATTAATCGATATATACAAAAATCGATGTGTGTATGAATGTTCCCTATGGACTCCAAGATAGCTGGAGCGATTTTGATGAAATTTTGCAAGCAATCTTCAGATTCGTCCAGCTGGTGATCCCGCGAAGTTTGGAAGTTTGGTAGTGATAGAAAGTTTGAACGCGAGCGAACCCGCGGGTACTGCTAGCAGCATATAATAATAGTAATAAAACTGAGTATGTAAACAAGCAATCACCTACATCACTGTGTTATGTATATCAGCAGAAAATAACAAAAATAATATATATGTAAATAAATAATTTTATTTTCATACATAAATATATCAATATGTCAATTTTATTCGCAATAATATTGTATTTAAATTATTTTTCGTACAGCGCTTTAATTAAGCTCTCATAATTTCCGCTTACGCTGGATAATTCATTGGCCAGATTGAAATTATCCGTTAAATGATTTTGATTTCAGAATTAATGAATTTTTTGGCATTCATGAAAACTTATTGTTATTTAAAATGAAATCAATGGTAAAATAGAATAACTATACAAATAATTTTTTCAACATGAAAAGGAAAACATCTTTAGGATACCTGCATATTTGATAAAATTTCGAAAGATATTGCAATGCTCCAACCAACACTTGGCCAACGTTATGGACTATGGCTTATTACCCTTACAAAATTCAATGCAAGGGATGCTTGTGACTAGCAGTGAGACGTTTCAGAGGGCTAAACGAGAGAGAGAGAGAGAGAGAATAAGAGAGAGATGCAAACTCAAAATTAAACTTTTTCGCTATAGTTATACTCACTTTTTGGATGGATGATAATATATATTTGATACACATAGAGATCTAAGCTTTATTTAATATTTTAGTGTTTTAGTTTTTTTTAAATAAGATGATATCTCAGATGGTACAGTAATATTGAAGACGATATGTCTTTTTAATTAACAAAATAATCCATCGCCTTAGTTTTATTTCTCCAAATATCAGTACTTGTTGTACTTTACTGTACAGTTTGTACTTTTAGATAGTTACTCTTTTTTAAAAACAAAGCTTTATTTCTACGATTTATCTACATATTATATAAATAAAATATATTTTTTCAGCTTAAAGTAAACTCTGTATTCCATACAAATAGAATTGACATTTAAAGTCAATATATTCAAAAAAACTCGTTCGGTAAATTGCTAGTTTGGACAAATAGGCAGTGAGACAACGAATTATGGAATAAAAATATAAGTTCATATAATTTATGTTTATTTAGCAGTTCTATAGTCAATATAAATACACACGCAAATTGTAAGGTGTAGCTAGGTTGGAATAAAACTATGAAAACAGAAGTTAGAAGTTTCATACAAAACAAGTACTGGGAAGTTTACTGTGCGATGAATATTGTTTAGTTGTTTACTTAACATAGCATAAATTTTAAACTATAAGTTAACATCGGTGTGTGGTGTAAGGAAAGTAATAATTGATAGTAAAAACTTTTTAAAATAAATATAAATTAACTTCAAAATATATAAAAACCTAAAAAATAGTTTTTTGTTTACAACAGCTAGACATATTTATGATGTTCTTCCGCGGCGGCTAATCTTACTAAGACTGCACAGGAGATATTATAGTGCAAAAGGGTTCGCGAAGACACAAGTGCACTCTCTATTCCTGTTACTCTCAAATTCCGGTATAATTCGACACGATGGCTCTTCGAGGCACGGGGAAGTAACACCGTCAACTCCAAGCTTTTACTGGGACTTTTTAGCAGAAACACTCAATAACTAGACTTGGCCCGATGTATATCATAGTACAAAGAACACTTTTCATGATAGTATGCTTAGTGATTCCCATGGGAATATTAATTGATGGGATTATGTGTCTCATAAAAATTTCGCACAAGAATTCTTTTTATAACGAAGGTGAGTTACTTATATAACAAAGGACGGGTTTTTGAAAGTTTATAGCTTAAAGATATTATTTATATGATGAGAGTGCAATATTTTTAGGTTCATGATTTTTTGAGTTATTATTATAAAAACCATTGTTTAAGCTTTTGTTTTTATTGTAGACGAAAATTCATAGTTAGGTTTATATTCATAGGTGAATGGATATTTAATTAATATTTCCTAAGCTAGAATTAAAACCAAACAAAGAAGATATTATCACAACGCTAGCAGTAAAATGTCAGCAAAATTCGATGTAAGTAACGATAGAATTTACTGCTCAATTCTTACTTCTTACCATTTATAAAAAATAGCAGATACTGCTATTTTTTTAAAACGGTTGCTCTTGTTATAAAAAAATGTAATTTATTTTGTTATTTAGCTTAAATAGCTACATATTTTTCATTTAAATTAAAATATAATATTGAAAAAATATGAAATCTACATATATATTTATATATAAAAAAAAATGAAATGGATACAACTAAATGAATACGTAATGCATATACATATATTATACGTACAAAACAAATGTATACTTAATAATTACTCTACAAGTCATGTCCACGAGGAATTGTGGCCGGAATGCAAGCTTCGCTTGATATTATTCATGATTCTCCCGCAAATACACACAAGTTGTTGAATTATTTTAAACAGATTTACAGTTAGTAAATTATTATTACAAGTGATATGAGTTACAGTTATATATGGTAATCTTATTTATTAAGAATGAAGTAATAAAAACCTATCAGAGCCGAATCTGTACATTAAATATTTTTTGGAAAATCTTATTTAAATAGTCTTTATTATCGACACAGAGGACATTTTTAGAAATTTTGTCTGTGTCTGGGAACGCATCACGAGAAAACCACTAAACAGATTTTTATCATATTTGGTATGGTGATACCTGGTTATCCGGGTCAACATATAGAATACTTTTTATGGCGAAAAAATATCTCATCTCTGAGAAATCTATACTAATCGTCAAAACGTAACTATTAAATAAAACAAAATTATTTTATGTGTATGAAAAATTGCTAGACTGATTTGGATGATACATAAATAGACTATGACCTGAAGTAGGCTAGTGTAACAATTCCCCCCCAACGTGCGTTCACCTTGTCGTGGTGGGGGGGCTCAGTAGCAGTAGCGAAGCTAAGAAACGCACAGGGAGGTTGCTCACTTCGGTGGGCGGTGGGAGGTGGCCCTCTTCGGAGGGCGGTGTACCATGCGGGTTGCTCCTGGTACTTCTCTGATAGCAGAGTGGACTGTGGAGCAACCCCATGGTTGTGGTGGTCTGCTTCGGCGGACCTGCCGTCGGGGCGTCGTAGTTGAATGCGTAAGCGATCCTGCGACGCCCCATTAAGACGGGGGAAGGTTTTGTTGGGTTTTAGTGGGTAGTACTGGCTGTATTACGCCGGTGAGTCCCACACGTCGTGCGTAAATGCATTTCCCAACGTTAAAAAAAAAAAGGCTAGTGTAACAAACAAATCCGAAAGGTGGCGCTACTTGTATATAATATTATAAATAGAAAAGGTACCTATGCATACAACCGACACAAGCCAGGGTGAGTTAGTTAGCTATAATCTTAATATTCAAACATAAGTACTCATAACTAAAAATTATAACTCAGATAATTTGTAGCCTAATTGAATTTACTGCTAGATTAGCCACGTAGTTTATATAAAATAATTCAATTTATTAAGCCGTCTGGCTGTTGTTAACTTAAGCTAGGCAATGTTAATTCAGGTGAAAGAATAATTTGTAAGCGTTTTGCCTTCTGCCAAGAGCGGTAATTACGGCTTATTTTGTACAGAGAACAACAGAAAATTGGAGCCAAAGCAACTCGCAATGTGATTCCGTAACGCGATTCGCATTTTTAAATAGAAGACTTTATACTAAAAGATTGTGCTACGGTTTAAGATAAGTTATCTTTTTCAATCATAAAAAATGTCCTATAATATATATAAAATCTTGATTTTGTTTTAGTGAAAAGAATAAACAAATACTTTTTCTAAAGAAAAATATTATATTTTTAGCAATTTTATTTATATCTTTAGCTTTTATATGAAGACTACTTCTATATAAATGGTAGCCCCTAGAAACATGATGCCAATTTACATGCGACCATACAGTCTGATAAGTTGCATCAATAAATCTGCTCGATAAATTGAAATAAAAAGTAAAATTTTAAGCTAAAAAACGTAACTTACCACCAATATAATATTTTATATGAACATTTAATATGCTGTTTTAATTTATTATAAGTAAGTTACAATTACAAGCCTGTGTCGAAGAATTATTTTTAATGTTTTTTTACTAAAATAAAATTGATT